CAAACAAAACGATCTGGAGAACAGAAGAAAAACAATTGGGCCTTGTTCTTTTAATTCTCAATAACTCAGGCTTGGCATATTGCTTGTGGGCTCGAAGTAACTTTAGCCCACTGAACGAATCCAACAACAGAAACGAGAAATCAAACTCAGTGAAGGGGCTTTCGATCAATATCTCGTTTTCTTTAAGCTTAATTTCCTTCTGGTGTTCCAAACTATAACCAAACATTCCCGAAACCCTAATTGCTTTCTATCCCAGAGTTTGATTAGTGATTTGCAGAAAAGAAGAGCAGGAATCTCGCGCTCGATTCACCCAACAAAACACTCTGTATTGAAAAATATCTATCGGACTTGTCTCACCAGGCCCATTAGCGGACTTGTCTTATCGGCCCGTCAACATTTATTCATTTAGCCCATTATAAAGGATCACCAACCGGCCATTTATTGCAAACTGGAAAGCCCTCTTCAGTCACATTTGGATCAAACAAAACAAAAAAAAACCCCTCCCCCCTCACCAGAAGACGTTTCAACTTCCTTCTTCCCTTTCGGCTTCCACTGCTCTGTTCATTATCCGACGAAGAAAGCAAATGCACAACAAATCCATTGCATGAACGCATTTTCAATTCCTTCTCTCTACCTGACCGACATCAGTTCCATCTCGGCATTTCCAGGAGGTACTTTCTACAACGCTACCGCGTAAAAAACCGCCGAAGACCTTTCAACTCCATTCTTCCCATCCGGCTTCCACTACTCTGTTCACTTTCCGACGAACAAACCAAATGGAGAACAAATCCATTGCATGGATGCATGTTGCTGTCCTCCTCTCTGCCTGACAGACATTGAACCCATTTCGCCATCTCCAGGAAGTAATTTCTAAAACCCTACCTTATAAAAATCCGTTCTTTCCTCTCATCAACAGCGTCGACAATTTTTTCCAGCACACTCATAAAGTACAGTCGCCGGCTATCCTTCAACTTTGCTTTCTCCCGATCTACTAAAATCTTAGCATTCAGAAAGTTTTTGAGGAAGAGACTCCCAGAAAATACTTGCGAGCTCCACCGGTGAGTTAGAATGCATGCTTTCTAATACAATGTAGTTTGCCTATTCAATTTAGAGACATGATTAATTGTTATTGCTTCGATTTTAGCATAGCATTGATCCATAGTTGAGGATATATATTTCAAAATTATTTAACTTGGATCTGATTACGTAGTGTGTGTTGTATAGAAACAAAACATTATATATTGTTTGTATAAAACGTAGTAGAGTCCAGTTGAAAAATTCCATGTAAGAATCAACAAAGAATAAGTCAAAAGAAGTAAAATATAGGTCCAATTGAAAAATCCATTAAAGGATTGACAGAGTCATGTCTTGCTTTCCTATAGTTTGCTTATATTCTGTTTTACATGATTAGTTGATTAGTGTAAGAACTCTAACCTTTGTCGATATAGTTGCTAATATTGCTAAAAATCTAAATTATAGGTCTTTTACCATGGGAGACGATTTCGTTATGAATCTAAACTATCAAACTGCCGCAGCAATTTGGGACACCGTGGATACTATAGACCTTATCCCAATGCAAATGAATGGTGGTAATCAGGTGACTAAGATAACATGTTGTTTTATCTATCCATATCTATCTCTTATCTCAATAATTTGCATATGATTTCGTATTATTTTCGCCTCTTTATGTTTTGGATTATTTCAGGGGAAGTCGTACATTTTGTCTGGCATTGTAACAGAGTTGAGGAGATCTTGGTCTGAGGCATCGAACATATATTTGATTCACTTGACCATTGAAGATGACTTGTCTGATGTTGAGGTCGTGTTCCCATCAGCTTACTTACGAAGAATAATGTCTTCTGTTGCCAGTCCTTCTGAGATTGAAAATGCGGAGTATGTTACACTACTGAATATGATTGGTGAGAAGACATATAAAGTCTTGGTTACATTCGGTCCTTGGAACGACGTGGAGCATTTTTCTGATCTTTTTTTGGTTAAGTTGTTCCCGGCTTTAGATAACTAAGTAGCATTGGGTATTATTAATATGATAGGATTAATGTTAGTAATGCTCCACCTTTCTGTAGTTTCTAATGATCTATTAGCCTAATGGTTATGTGAACGCTAATATCTTTTGTAACTTTATTATCCTTTTGAGATGGTACTTGATGTAACATATGAATTTAATTTAGTTATGTTACTTTGAACAAATTACTCATAGTAGATGTGACGGGATAAGCATTGATCCAAACGTGACTAAATGGGGCTTTCCCTTGCAATCCAATATAGAGATTTTTACTTTTTTAAGGATGGACTTATGGGCCTCTATTTACAGCCCAAATTTATAACAACTACATGGTCAATGGGCCGGCCCTTACATTATTTTTTAAGTAACTCTTTTAAATTGGAATCAGAGGTATTTTAAGAATGGATTGCTGGGCTGGTGATCGTTGTGCTTTTATTAACCCTATGGACTTTGATGGATTTTGATTTTGGGACGGGACCAGATAAGAGACGGAACGTCTTGAGCTGGCGATTTCACCGTTAGAGCAGGCAGGCTAGAGATCCAAATCGGGGACCCTTTCCTCTTCCTCTACGATAATTAGAACCACAAAATTAAAATGTCAGAACCCTAAATCATAAGAAAGTACCAATAATGGCTCTAAGATTCACGCTAATTAGTCAGGGGCGGAGCTACAGCAGCCTTCGGGGGGGCCCCGGCCCCCCCGAGAATTTTGAAAGTCACGTGTAAAAGTTCGGTATTAGACGTATAAACTAAATGTTATGTATAAAAGTATCCAACGTGAAACAAAACAATAAAAGTCTCTGTAGTCTAGTGGAATCTCGCCTTGCCCTCTCACCTGGTGGTCAAGGTTTCGATCCTTGTGGGAAGCAGCATATTTTTTTATCACTAGCTATTTTGGTAATCAGTTTATGTTTTATTTAGTGATCAAATGCTTTATGTTTGTCAAGCAAAGAAACTAAATGTAAGTCAACCATCACTTCCTTTGCTACGTGCATGTCATTGGAGAAACTCTCCATGGGTGGTCAACTAGGGTGACTCAGCTTGTTACTAGTTTGGTCTATACCCGACCATGAGAGGAAAAATGGGGTGGAAATACATAGTTGCCTCATTACTTTCCACGTGGGTTTGCCATGGGAGTGCACTTGGATCTCTTGGGTGGTATGTAAAAGAAACAAATAATACAAACCACTAGCAAATGATTAATTACTTGAAACGACAATTATACCTTTGCTTGGCTCTCCAACGTGTGGTGAGGGAATAGAGGGCATGGTAACTTTGTGTTCTTGATCAGTAAACTATTTTTGGTTAAAGTGTTTAATTAAAAGATGTCGGTTTAATACGGGGTCTATCAAATTTTTTTGGAAGATTAGTCATTAATTTGTTAGCATTAAGTTGGAGATTATCCATTAATTTGCTTCGTTGGGCTTAATCCTTATTATAGCCCAAATCAGCCTCCAAATTTAAGGTCCACATGATTGCAATTGTGAGTTGAGCAAAGAAGAATAAAATAAGTAGTTGTGGCGGACAGATTTCATTACAAAATAGGAATGTGATAGAGAGTTTGGACCGAAATCCAGGAAGGATTGTAGGCTAGTCTAAGAGAACCTGGAGCCACCAAAAACAATTGACCCAAAAAAAAAAGAAGCAAGGAAAAAAAAACACCACAAACCCCACCACCGACACCCACCATCAGATGCACAACGGTAACAGACAACACCGAAAGAGAAAGACCACATGCAAGAACAAAGGCTAGTAGTGTTTTTAGAATTGAGAGCATAAAATTCAGACATCTTAAGGAACAACCCATTTGCCGTTTAGCCAGTCCTGATGTGGCCTCAAATCAGCCTGATTGAACGTTGTCTTCTCATCATACTCTATAAAGTTAACCTCGTAATTGGAGTTGATCAAGACCTTTGCAATCACGCCAACCCACCAGCCCTCGTTGTAGTAAGCATCTACTGCATCCCACACCTTGAATCCATCCACAACAATGATCTCCGGCGGACAAGGCCTTATGTTGCAAGCACGAATGACTTCTCTGAGAAACTCAGTATCATCATCATTCCTCAGGGTTTTGTACTCAATAAAGTACTTGTCTTCACCCGAAGGTTCAATAATTGTTGCAGCAAACCAAGCACCTTTCAAACCGTCTTCGTCAGTTAGCACCTCGACTTGCATTCCTTGAGTGAACTTCATCACTTCCTTGGAAAAGTTTGAGTTTAGCCACATCTGCATGTTTATGAATCGATTCAACGAGGTTGAGACATTGTGAAAAAGAACAAATGCCATCTCTGATCACCCAATTCTCTGTTAAAAGGTAATTTGCAATAAATTTACCCCAAAACACTTCACATGGTAGGCCTAATATTATTGATTGATCAATTATCAATATCTACCCCAATGTTGACGTGAAGAACAAGAACACATGTAAGAGACAGCATCAAACTAATTCAAGCAAGTTGCAGCAAGTGGATTGGAAGTTGAAGACAAAATTGATAAGGCTATATCAATGCATGAGAACATGATTGGATTTGGTATTAACTCATGCATGTGTTGTGTTGTATCGTGGAAGAGAAGATGATGATGGAAGAGGGCTCACTTGCATTGAGTATATGGGGTCATTCTATTAGTTTCTTTCTTCTTCAATTGTGTATTATATATGTATGCATGGGGTGTGTCATAGTGCAATGGGGAAGAGACATAAAAGAAAGAAAGAAGCCTCTGTATCTATGTGTTTGTAAACAACAAGAGCCAAAAATTAAGGCCTTGTTTGTTTCAGTGATTTATAAAAAGAGTGATTAAACACCAATTGTTTCCTTTGTTTTGATCCTATTTTCCACCACAATTCCGCTAATACCCAACATTCTCTACTTTCCTCAACCTAACTAGATCGAGATTCAAAATTCCCTAAAATTGTTATACCAAGCAACGGAGTAGGAAAAGTCATAAAATCGAATTAGCTCACCTCTTTCTCCCGCTAAACCTGTTCGAATCGCGGCTCCCACTTCCCTTTAACCCACTGAACAGGCAACCTCAAATCTTTCTCTTCAAACACAATCTGCTCCTCAAACCCTCTGAGGAACACCGCGAATTTCCCGCCGGAGTGCTCCGCAATAATAGCCCCTTCCCACCAGCCGTCGCTGTAGAAGGCCTCCACTTTGTCTTCGAACTTGAACTGGACCTTCTTCTTCTCGGGAGGCGGCGGCGGCGGACGCAATTGGATCGAATCGAGGGTTTCTTGCAGCAGCTTCTCCCCATATTAGTCCGCGTAGAGCTGGTCGTACTCGACTACGTAACGATTGGTGTTCTTCGCCTCGCGGCGGACGACGGTGCCGGCGTACCAGGAGCCGCGGAACCCTACATCGCGGGGGCTGATCTCGACCCGGTCGCCCGGATTGAATTGGGCGACCCACGAAGAAGATGGGTTCGACATCGAGGGTTTCTTGCAGAATTGCAGGTGAAGAACGGATGGAAGCGGGGTGATTTTTTTTTGGTAGAAAAAGCGGGGTGATTTTGAAAAAGGGAATGGGAAAAGACTGTTCGTTTTTACCCCAAAGAGAAAGGGAATGGAGGGAATGGGAAAAGACTGTTCTGCGGTTTCTCCAAAAAAAAAACTGTTCAGGGTTCAGGGTTCCGTGTCATCAATCAGAGAGAGAGAGAGAGAGAGAGAGGCGATGGCGGTTCCGTGTTAAAGAAAAGTTGAAGAGCAGTAGGAGTCAGGAAAGCAACTGCAGCGTTAGAGCTAACTTTATTAGGGTTGCTTGTTTGTGTAGGTCGGCGTTGGCTTCAATAATAGTAGTACTATTATTTTCTTTTATTAGTAGATGGTGTATTATCATGTCACTCCAAAGAAACATGGTCCATTTTAATGAGCCAAGCCGAACTCATTCTCGGCTCTTTTATGAACGAGCTAATACGATCCGAACACGATACAACTCATTTATTGAGTTTGGGCTCATAATTTCGAACAAAATTCTGGCTCGAGCTAGCAAACAACTCATTTCATCCTAATTAGTCATTACTAAGGGGTCGTTTGCTTGGTGGAGTTGGATAACAACAAGAAGTACACTCTAGAGGTAAAAAGGCAAACATGATTTTATTAGGGTTTAGGGTTCAGAGTTTAGGGTTTAGAGTTCAGGGTTCAGGGTTCAGGGTTCAGGGTTTAGCATTCAGGGTCTAGGGTTTAGGGTCCAGGGTTTAGGGTTTAGGGTTCAGGGTTCAGGGTTTAGGGTTTAGGGTCTAGGGTTCAGGGTTCAGGGTTCAGGGTTTAGGGTTCAGGGTTCAGGGTTCAGGGTTCAGGGTTCAGGGTTCAGTGTTCAGGGATTAGGGTTTAGGGTTCAGGGTTTAGGGTTTAGGGTTCAGGGTTCATGGTTCAGGGTTTAGGGTTTAGGGTTTCAGGGTCTATGGTTCAGGGTTCAGGGTTCAGGGTTCATGGTTCATGGTTAAGGGTTTAGGGTTTTAGGTTTTTAGGGTCTAGGGTTTATGGTTTTTGCTTGTAAGTATGTCCTTCGCGTAGTACATTAGTAGGTACGTGAAGGTTTGGCAGTTACTTTTGGCTATCGATGTCAATTGAAACATAAACAGAAATTAATAAACCGGAAAATTGACAAGTAGAAGGTGTATTATCATGTCACTCCAAAGAAATTAGCCAACCTGAAATTTTTGTCATTGGATTGTGTATTTAGATGTATCGTATAGGCAGTCGTATTTGGAGATTGCCTGTTGGTTTAAACCGAAGATGAAACCTTTGAATAACAGGTATGTACATTTGTGGCCAAAAGCAGCAACCATTGGGCCAGAAGGCCCAAATCAGCCTTCCGGCCTGTCTTTTTTAGGCCGCATTCAATTTACTTAAGCCCTGATCTTGCCTCCCTCGACAACACAGACCTCGTTCCAGATCTTCGCTGGCATCGGCGGTAAAAACTGCCCCTTTCGACCACGGTGAAAACCCTAGCGCCAAGGTATGTCACTATCTGGTCCTAAGCACGCCACTCAGTAGAAAACATCATATTCCTCTAATAAAGATTACTACGATCGCAGCGGACCAACGAACTATGGCAGTTTTCCGCCGAGACAACCCACTCGCCTCGCTGGATTACGAGGACCCCACCGATCCCCAAGGTTCGATGTTTTTGTTTCTGTAGGTCTAAATTGGTACTGGATTCGATTGATTCGCAAAACCTTACTGGTGACTCCACTTAGTGTGTTTCTTGTCTCTATTGTAGACCCCATTTGTGCTTCGATGACGTTTCGAGGTTTGCGGTTGGGAACCAACAACCGTACTGTGATAGCTCGGCTTCTAAAGACGTGGACAGAAGTCATTGACGGAAAGGTTTGGAAAACGCCAGCATTGCGCATGCTCTGGATGGACAAAAAGGTTTGTTTACGATTTCCCAGCAAAAAAAACACCAGCTGCTTATGCTTATCTAAACATTCTTTTACACCTGCTAATCCCGCAGAAACGAGTTATTGAAGCTCTGGCATATGAAAAGGACATTGATGACGTGATGGCGAGGATCAAAGTTGGTCGTCTGTATCGCCTAAGCATTATCTTTACAATCCCCTCGAGTAAGAACAAACGCATTGTCCCAGGAGAACTGCGGCTGCTCATGAACTCTGAGCAACTGATTGACAACATCGAAGAAGACCAGAACAATCCTAAGTTTCCCCTCGACTCATTCATGAACTCTCATTTCTCAATGGTCCCTGCAAAGTTTGAAAGTTTCCACTGCCACGCAGGTAAAGCAATGTACATCACTTTCACGACCAACACACACTAAAAATCCCATAACATCTATGCAATTACAGATGTCACAGGCTGCGTACGGCGAATCACAGTACCAACTGCCCTCCAAGATGGCATGCTTGATTTCCATCTGGCTATTGAAGACTACAGGTATACTAAACTATGTACCTTAGATCGTTAAAACTTTCGACAGTGAATAATTTATATTTTGTTTGCATTTGCAAAACAGTGGGAACAAGGCTGTTGTGAAGTACTGTGGCTACGATGTCGCTGGTTACCTCCAACAAGCAGCAGATGTAGAGTCGCACCTCCCGCTGATAACCACAGTTACATCGGTAGTCTCCGTGCCCGATGCATGCAACGATGATGGTATATATGAGCTGGAATCGACACAAGCCAGTCGTCTGATTATCAGTTCATACAATGAGACCACTGAAAGAGTCATGAACAGGTATTGATTTCCTAACAATCTCTAAGACAATTTGTTCACTTCAAATATGCTTTCATTGCAACAACTTAGCCTAACATAGACATCTATTTGCAAAACTCAGGTTTCTGCCATGCCGCAAACCGATCAAGTACATAATCTATGGAACAGCTGAAAGGATGGGATACTTACGCTACCCTCGCCCCCCAAGAAGAACACTTGCTCAGATAAAAGAAGACTTGAGTTCAATACCACAAAATCGTGAGGTATATTATGATGCTTTGAAAAATCCCAACATTCAAATATGTTTCACTTGCTATTGCCGCTCTAACCTGGCAAAAACAATTTTTATATTTCAGACCCTCTACCGAACCATAATCAAGTTCACTCATGTCCTATGCCAAATAGATGCTTGCAGAACCACTCGGGAAACGCCAAGGTGAGATTAAATATTTAAATTGACCGGTTTGCACTTTTGGCAAGGAACGCTTGCATTATTCTCAACAAAGCTAACGAGCTTCTATTATGACCAGACTACATTACCACATCGAGGCAAGGTGCAAATCTGAATCATCCGCGGCCGATGTTGTACTGAACCACGAGGCAGCTCTGTCAATACTCTGCATGATGCCGGCAAAGTATCTCAAACTGAACGAAGATGAAATAAAAGACATCATCAAGAAAAACTGCAAGAAGACCTTCGCAGCAGAACTGTACATTGCATGGCCAAACCCAAGTCAGAGCACCGTGCCGCACATCAGGGTTGCCACACTTTGGGATCCTTGTGCTTTCGACGATTGAACATCAACTTCGACCAGCTATATTTTGAATCAGGAAAACTGCTACTGATTGACCGCCTTTTGCTGTTTTTACCTAAGCCCTGACATAATTGACAACACTTTTGGTCTAGCCTTTTGTCATTTAACAACTACCACCTGGCTTAATTAGGTAGTTCAGTCAAACTATGAATCTATTGTGAATGCTTAGGACACATTTTGGGAAATACTTTTGCATATGTACCTATATTCAGTGTTTTTTTTTTAGGGAAGTACCCATATTCAGTGTTAGACAATATTGATATGCAGATGTCCTTAATGAAATAAGTTGCAAGGGGAATAACTTAAAACCAAAAATGAAATGTTGCTGATGGGTTTCGAACCCAAGCCAAAAATTAGGCTTCCAAACTGCCATCCGATGGACTGCAATCAACATTCTTTGTTCAATTGAGTAAGCTTATTAATATGAATCATCCTGCAGCGAAGCGCGGGCTTATTCCCAATAGTAATAACTTAAAACCAAAACTGAAATGCTTCTGATGGGTGTCGAACCCAAGACATAAATTGGCATTGCAAACTTCCATCCGCTGGACTACAATCAAAATTCTTTGTTCAATTGTGTACGCTTATTAATATGAATCACGCAAACAATTTGCTTGCCACTTAACCAACAAAAACCTATTTGTCCAAGTTGATTAACGAGCTCTACATATTGTGTACATTTGAGGCCCAAGAGCAGCAACCATTGGGCCAGAAGGCAACCAAACTAGCATCCCAGCCTAAAACATGAACAACCAGGACCAGAAAGTATGAAAATACCCAACCAAACATCATAACGTCCTCCAATCAAAGAACCTAACTCGTCCATAGAGTATCAAACAAATGGCCAGATTCGAAATGTGTCTCCGGACTCCGGTTATTAGAATCCATGCCAATCTTTTCAACTAGCCTTCTTGCTGCTCCTCAGGCCTTCCCTTCTAGTACATGGCTTCTTCTGCAACATTGAATATATAAAGTTTAGTTCCAACGAAAATAATTGTTTCCCAAAAGTATTCTAGACATGCACAATGAACTTCTAATATTACAGTTGGTGGATCAGGGATGTCGATTGTATCAACATCCTCTTCAGTATCCTCCTCTGATAACTCTGGACAAGTTCTGGCATTATGAGTATCCTTCCCACATTTACTGCAATGTTTTGGTTTTCTGCCAATGTGTGGTGCTTGCTGGTCAGCTCCGTTGTTGGCGACGTTTTCACTATTTGGTTC